TAGATAGATAGATAGATAGATAGATAGATAGATAGATAGATAGATAGATAGATAGATCGATCCAGCCATATATCTTTAGGCACAAATGCAGGAGGGCAAGAAAACCAGGCAGTTGTGCCAAAGGACAGGCCTGCTTCATGTCAGAGAAGACAAACGTCTTGGGGCAGGGTGAGGAACCAGCCCTAGTGTTTCTGGCCTCCTAGCCAGCACTCCTACCCAGAGGCAGCCTTGTCAGGCCCAGTTTGAAGCTTCGCCTGCACAAGCAATTACCTAACCCTTCCACTAAATATTTCCTGGGGTTTGCCTTCGAAACAGCTGCTCTCTCAGCTTTGCTGACTTCTGCTGTCCAGGAAAACTATTACGTCAACGGAGCTGGTAAGTAGGCACAGACAGCCTAATTCCTGCCACTTGAAATTCGCAATGTGAGTAAGTGGTTCAGAGCTTATTTAGTCAGCACTCTTTTTTCCTCCAGTTTTCTGGAATGTGTCCAGCAAGGAAAGAGAGACTGGAAATTATCTTAGCTATCCCTCCTAACTGTCTCTTCTCCAGGTGACCATGTTTTGGAAGACTGGGTGTCCAGGTCTCTTGCCTATGTTCTTCCTGAACTATGGTGGTGTCCAGGCGACTGGCCTCCTTACTTCTTTAAGTGCCAGATAAAGAACATCTATTGCATTTTCCTCTACTCATTCTTATTCAGTCTGTTGAAAGAACATTTGCTTTGTAAGGAAAAGAATGTCTTGTGGGTGGTGTTCTTGCACTTAATTAGGATGTAGCCAAGAACTCTGTGTGTATGTATGTGCATGACCATCTTTCCTTCTACATTCAACTCTCTTTTGGTCTTCAACCATCCCAGGCTTCCCACATTTCCACCAAACCCCAAGAGAGGACCTCATGAGGGAACTCTTTCCACTGGACTTCTTCAGAAGTAATGCTGCTAAGGAGGAGCCCTCTCCTTGAGAAACCATCAGAGAAAGTCTCCTTCCCCTGGAGAAATTACCCATCCAATTATTCCTCCAAGAAATTGAGTGGAGAGTTTCCAAAGGCCTTTTGTGCCCAGATCTAACATCTGTACTAGCCATAGAACAGGTGTTCAAAGATCCCACTGGGCTGCTGGACATCTCTTTGGGGTCCTTGAATTCCCACCTTGAAAAAATGATTGGAAATTACAACCTGGCCCTGAAGGAGGAAACATATTTGCAAAGTCAAGCAGGCTTACTTTGATGCAGGTATCGTTTCCTGCGCCTCTTCCTGGCTTTCTCTCCTGAGAACAGGGCACCCACACGCTCCTTCCATGCCATGTGGCTCTCTGCATCATTGACGCCACAGCGAGGAAGACTCATGTGATGGAGAGTGACAGCATCCAGGGTGCCACTGAGGGGCAGGTGAGAGATCCATTGAAATTCCCTGGAAGAGCAAAGGAAAGGGGATGAACCTTGCACGATGCTCCTTGGTTTAAACCAGTGTTTCTCAACCTCAGCAACTTTAAGATGTGTGGATTTCAACTCCCCATGCTGGCTGGGGAATTCTAGGAGTTGAAATCCACATGTCTTAAAGTTGACAAGGTTGAGAAATACTGATCTAGGCCTTGGTTCTGAAACACACAAGCACCTCTCACTATAGCCCTACGAAACTTGATGCTGGTAGCAGGGGAAGGAAATAAAGGATTTTAAAAAGCAACCCAGAGGGAGTGCTGGAAGACAGCCCGAGTCCAGAAGGCAGCAATGGCATTTGAGGAATCTCCCAGCTGGGCCAAAACTGCTGCATTTGTAGAGCTCTCATTCTCCAAAGGAAACCAGGCCCATACAAGGGAAACCACTGAGGGGAATCCAATGCCAGTGAAAGCTGGCCAACTGCATGGTCCAAGCTAGCAACAGATTGCATAGAAAGGCATGGGATTTAGAGATCAACTAGATACTGAGTGGAGATAGAAGGCTGGGAAGTTGCATCTCCAGCCGACACCTAAAACCGCGTGAGGGAAGGATGAGTCACAGACTTACTTTATGGCATCTGAGAATCCTGCTGGGTCTGATCCTTGGAGCACAGACTCAAAATAGCCGTATTTTTCCAGAAACCTCTAAAATCAAATCAAATCAAATCAAAATAAATAAATAAGAGGCAAGATGCTAGGCTTTGTATGAAACACACACACACACCCCACACACCCTGGCATTCTTACTTTTATTATTTCCTTGTGAGCCCAACCTTTCTCCCCAGTGTGTACATGCAAAGTCTTTACACACATTTGATTCTGGACATTCTTGGTCAGTTTTAGAAATTGTTGGTAGTTCCCAGATCTCTTTTAAATACTGTGCCCAACCTCAAAGAATATCCACTTGTAGCTCGGTGCCTCCCAGAATGATAACACCACTTCAATCACTGTTTGTGCTTGCCAAGAAGCAATTTCAATTCTGTGTGGCAAGCTTTGTCTTTCAGTTATTATATCTGCCAGCCAAACTTCTTCATTCCAAAGTTTGTGTCTCTATCAGCTCTGTTTTTCCTGGCACTCCCTTTCCCTTATCAGCTTTGATTCCTAAAACAAATTCATCCCAGACCAAGCAGAGCAAAAGAGCACAGGCAGAGAACTTACTTTTTTAGCTGCATAATTTCTCTTTTTTATATATAATATTCATTAAAAATTTTAAGTACAATGGTACAATATATTACAAACTAAAAAAGAAAGAAAGGAAAGAAAAAAGAAAAAAAAAGAAAAAAAAGAAAAAACCCTAAGAAAGCAACTTCCCACCCTAATTATGACAAGTATAAACAATTTCACAATTTCTTCACCTCCTTTTAATTAACAGATATAAAACTCTTCATCCAATAACTCATCTCTTAACTATAGGCAAATCCAATAATCACTGTCTTCTCCAAACCAGGTATCAGCAAAAAGTCCATACAGAGCCCTAAAATAGTAACCTTAATTAACATATATAAAACTCAACATTCCACATCTCAATTCTTAAATGTAAGCAAGTCCCCATTTATAAGGCATAAAGTGGTCCTGCTATCTTGATGTGAACAAAAGACTAAAATTTAACATGACAAAAAGGGACAATTTCTCCTTTAAAGAGAACAAGCTCGCACATATCTTTTACTTTAAGTGGAAAGGCAATTAGATAAAAAGCCAATTTAAATGCTATCAGACCAGAATACATAAAATAACTGTAGGAAAGAAGGCTTAAACACCGTATTAACTGTAAGCAAACCCAAAACAAAACATTTGTCCATTCCAGATGCCAGAAAACCAAAGAGAGCCACCCAAAATAACATGTTCCATTCAAATAAACATTCCATATCTCAACTGTTAACTATAAGCAAAAGCTCTATATACAAGCTTTTATATATAAAACATTTAGAAGGCATAAATTAATCCCAGTATCCTGGTACAAACAAAAGACTGGAATTTAACATGACAAACAGGGATAATTTTTCCTTTAAAGAGAACCAGCTCACAAAAATTCTTTTACTTTAAGTAAAAAAGACAGATCCAAAGCCAGTTTAAATGCTGTCAGATTAGGATACATAAAATAACTGTAGGGAAAAAGGCTTAAATGCCATGTTAACTGTAAGCAAATCCAATACACAACATTTTTCCAGTCCAGGTATCAGCAAATCCAAAAAGAAGCACCCCAAATAGCAACATGTCCTATCTTAACCCTGGTCAAATAAACCGACTTTGTGTTCCTTTTTTTTTTTTACATAAAACGATCTTGCTCTTTAATCCATTCAGATGCTTGTAGATTCTTGTTTCAAATTTCTTTGATACTTTAAACAGCCTCTTTTGTAAGTCCAGCAAAAAGAAATTATTTCAATTGCTTTCTGGGATTGTCATTTTTATTTCTTTCTTAATTTTTAAAGCCTCATCCAATTTTATTTTTTTTTAAATATCTGGTGACAAAATGTCAGGCCCAGCCCAAGAACAACAATGAAACAGTCCAGTCCAGTCCCTTTATTAGCTTACACCTTACAGATAGAATCTTGCCAAACTAAATCTATACTACAGCAACTAGTGGATATACCCTGGGAGACTGTAGGGAGGGGCTATCCTGAACCTCTTTCGCTTCCCACACTCCCCCTGTGGACCATGCTGCCTCTTGCCTCCTCCCCCCTCCTGGAATGCACCCCCTCCTTCCTGATAGCCTTGATCTCCCACATAAAATCTTGTTCAAATTCTGTTCAGGTTGATCTTGGGTAGACTTTGCTGCAGAGAGGAACTAGTGTAATTGCCACTTTATTCCTGTCAGTTTCAAAGTGAAATTGACAAGGCTTTTCACTACTTTGTCAATTTCCCTGGGATCCAGAAAAAGCAATGGGAGGAGATAGAAGGCAAATAGCATACAGAGTTAATTATGTTTCCCTCCCACTTTTCTTTCCTACCTCGTCTGGTTACAGGAGACAAGATGGATGGATGGATGGATGGATGGATGGATGGATGGAAGGAAGGAAGGAAGGAAGGAAGGAAGGAAGGAAGGAAGGATATAACAGGCAGACAACTGGTATGCTTGTACAGTTTGTCAAAAGATGTATGCTTGTGTGTGTATGCCTTTGAGTCAGTGTTGACTTCTAGAGACTGTCTGGATTGTTGTACAGCAACAAATCTGTAAACCAGAGGATTTCCCTTCATTTTTGCAATGTGAAAACAGCTGATGAGAATGCCTTCTGCCATGGAAGCTAGTTATACAAATTCATCAGCTTTTCAGGAAATTGCTGTGACAAGGTCACCATGGACACTATTGTAATGATGTTAAGAAATGCCCTAATAACAATGGAGACCACTAGGAAATTTGTATCATTATGGTAAGCTATAAACAGTGCAAGGAAGCCATTTTCCTCACCGGTGATTAGCAGACTTCCATGTGTAGCTTCAGCTGTAATTGGGAGGAGAGTGCAAAAGATCCCTGTAGAAAATCAAAATATTATTTTGCTGGAATCATACACACGCATGCAAGAGACAGTGCGATGTAATGGTTAAAGTGCTGCTAGCAGAGTGACTGAGGTCTTGGTCTCCCTTAGACATAGAAGCTGACCGGTGACTTTTGGGCCATTCGCGCTCTCTCAGCCCCAGACTGGAAAGCTGAAAAACGTCTGTCTGCCAACCTGTATTGGACCAGCACAGTAGGGTCTTTCCATGAAAAGGCCCTCATCCTGCAATGAGTTTTGCTGCTGATTATTTTTTTATATCTGTGTATATGTGTGTGCATAATACTATGTCATTATATACGCATATTATATATTCATTATTCTATTATTTTTATCTCCCCCCCACTTTCCCACAGTGCAGACTGTCTGCATTTTGCAAGATTTTGTAAACTGCCTTGGAAGCAGAGCCGAAAGGCTGTATGTACGGTACATCCTGACAGAAATACAAATAAAATAATTGTGTTATGTGGACGCCGCATCGACTCTAATCAGGGGGCAGGAGGAATGTCCAGGGTGAGCAACCGAAATAGCAAAGTCACTGTAGAAAGAATACGGCACTGTTTAGATGATTTAGAAGGAAAAACTGTATTTATCAGAAGTAGGCAGGAGCAATCATGAAAGGAATTTAAAAGAGGTGTGTGTTAATAAGCCTACACAGGCTAAAAAGTAAACGTTTCAAGGAGTGAAATCGGTCCAGTTTTAATTGGGGAGAACGTCTACTTTTGTAAGCTTTTGTAAGGCTGGGAGAGACAAAATGTGCTTATAAAACATAAACATTGAGTTCCCCTCTCTTTCTGTGCATCGGTTCCAAGTTGGAACATTCATGACGCTTGGCAGAGAAAAACATAATGCTATAAGCTGGCCAGATAACATCAGGATTAAAGGCTGCCTCATAAGGCAATTCAAACCAGGGCACTCAACTCTGCTTCAAAACAGCTTTTTAACAGCACTACTCTTGACCCCAGAGCCATAAGCAACTGGCTCCCAAGCGTGGAAGAAGGGAAAATGACTCTCCCCCCGCCCCGCCTCATTTTCCTAAGGAGGAAATTCCATTTTCTATAGAATATTTTGAAGCAGCAGGAAATAAACAACTGCAAAACATGCCCTATAGGGATACCTCTCCCACTTGTTCTATGCGACGGGGAGGGAAAGAGAAAGGAAACACTCACAGACACAGACAACCCACTCGCCTCATTAATTTCTTTCAGTGCTCAAGACCAGAAGCTGCCCCCAGAAACCCACAAATCAAGACTCATCAAGACTGACTTCTGCGTGGATGTCAAGTAGCCCCACATGGACCAGAACTTTAGAGAGGGTGGGAGAGACGCGCTTTGTTCCCGCAAGCCAGTGGAGGAGCAAGAATTGGACTGTGTATTCTTGTTAGGACACGAAATAGTAATGCCAAAGAAACAGGGCTGGGAAATACATTCTAAGCAGCTGCTCTTTGCAATTTGGGAGGGGTGCTCTAGACTGGGCCCAGAGGCTTAAGGAGGGGGAAAGGGGGTCAAGGGGCGGCAAATGACAAAACATTGCACTGTCACGAGACAAGGTCCACCCCTTTTTCACCTGTGTTGTCGTGTTGTAAGCACGTGCAGAAGTGAGGAAGCTTGCATCACACTGGCACGCCACTAGTTTTATCATTCCAACAAAAGCCTGGGGTCCTGCGGACACGTCTTCAGGATCTATCCCACTGGTAGATGAGCTGCCTCAGGGGGCAGAAGGTCAGGTTCTTTGGCAACTGTCTCAGAGCAAAAGCATGTCTTCTCCAAGCACAATTTTCCCAGGGTTTTTTTTTTAATTGAAGGGAATGGATGGAGTTACAAGAATTCCAGCAGCTGAACTCTTTAGAGCCAATATCTCCCCATGTAGATATAGAGTGGAGAGTTTCTGATTTTCTTTCACAGCTTTCCTACAGCAGGTGTCCACACTGTAACAGGAAATCCTGCAGCTGATGGTTTACATCAAGGTTCCTCAACCTCAGCAACTTTAAGATTCAACTCCCATGCTGGCTGGGGGATTCTGGGAGTTGAAGTCCACCCATCTTAAAGTTGCTGAGGTTGAGGAACCCTGGTTTACATAACAGTCTCCTGAATCCTCATCAGTCTGGGAACCAGCCATTACACTGATGCTGAGCAGCGGAGAAGAGTGGCAAAGAGAGGGAACATGGAGTTGTTTGTCTCCCATCCCCTAAGCTATCCTAATTTCACTGCTTATCCAGCTTCTTTTCTAGCTGAATCCTATAGGCCAGCCCATGCAATGACTTCCATAACCCCTGGTCTAGTCAGACAGATGTGGTCAGTGATGCCAGCACTGATGCTTAACCTCAAACCTTAATCCAGATGCTTATACCCCTTGCCCAAGGAAGGCCTTCATTTTAGTCAAGAGTTAGCCTTTCTCGGTTCCAAAATTCACATACAGGTAGTGTAGAGAGTAAGGAAGATTATCTTGATGGAGATTTGCAGGAGGCAAAAGGGGCTGAAACATTTTTTAAGTCAAGAACAGCCAGATAGCATTCAGAATCAGCTCCGACAGATGCCTCCTAATTCACCAAATTATATGAGGAGGAGGAGGAGGAGGAGGAGGTACAGACTTGCAAGATTTTGTGATTATTGCCAGTCCAATAAATGAAGTTTTAGCCTTCCTGCAGAGTAGATTTCATGGACTGGCCTACCTAGTGGGGCTGACCCATATTCTTACTTATG